GACAACATGACACTTCTAAGCAGCAAAGCAGTTGCTTTGTCTTTCACAGAAGAGACAACCCACTGCCCTGAGTACTGAGATTTCTGGTATATGTGTGTGCAGAGCTGATTTGTCCATAATTGTTTGCTTTCTTAAGAGTCTTTTGAAGTGTATGTCTTCAAGCCAGTTCCTTTTATTAAAAATAAATTCTTCCAAGTCACCAATAAAATGTCAACTGTGATTAAAGCCTGACTCCTCGTTTTAAGATTTGTCTCCTAAGCAATGTGAGGTCACTCTGAGAGTCAGCGTTTGAAAGGACCGTTACTCCTGAGAGCATGGGTAAAGCCCAGAGTTCATGGCTGCTTGCTTAAACGGTTCCACCGCATTTTAAATTGCTTTGCATTGTGCTGAAAGAAATGTAAACTGTGGGGCCTGTTTGGCGCAGAACTCGTCATATTTCAGGCACCTCAAATCTTGAAAAAAAATCCTCTATATTAATGTAGAAGTTGGTATTTCTGGTAGGAAAAGTTTTACCTCTTATGTATTAAAGAGGAGGGTGGAGTGGGGAGCTGTGCTTGAGGCACAAACTTTCAGCTATGTTCTGTTGAAATAGAACTTGGGAACTATAAAATCTCTGGGCAAGGGCTCTTTTGTACAGTGCCCAGCAGAACAGAGCCAGAGTCTGATAGGGCTTCGCGGACATGGGAACTTTGTTAATTCTGTTTATTAAAATACTAAAAAAATATAGATGGGCATTAAAGTTCTAAGTGCAAGCCCTGAGAAGCGAGGAAATACTATTTTTGAGATCATCTATGCAGCTTATTTATTCTTTTTGTGCACATTTTTGTGCCTGCTCTGGGTGACCCTGCTTCAGCAGGGGGGTTGGACTAGATGACCCACAGAGGTCCCTTCCAACCCCTACCATTCTGTGATTAACTGCAAGTTTTTAATTACATTATTACATTTCCTTTTGTTGCTCTCCCTCCCTGTTTGCTGCGATGCACACTGTATTTGGAGGCAGTTCATCACACCGGAGAATCATCTGGAGCAGGACTCCAGCCTACACGTGTCCACCTCGGGTCTCCCCATCCCTCTCTCTGCCCTTCCCCTACCCTCCCGAGTAGCTCCTGCCTCGGCTCCTCGCTGCTCTGCATTCAAATCATTTGGGTGCTGCCTGGGTGTCTGGAGAACCCTGGGGTCTCTGCGCTCTGCTGAGGAGGGAACTGGGAGCTGCTGGCCGCAGAGGTGACCTGAGGGAGAGCCCCGCTGGCCTTCCCTTCTGCGGCGGAGCAGGCCGAGAGCAGAGGCAGGAGCTGGGATCATTCAGCTGCCCAGTGTGCTCCAAGGGGGACGAGCAGGGGCTTGAAAGGGTGGCAGCTACCTTACAAATTTTGGCAAGGTGCGAGTCGTGTCCCCCCCTCTGCTCTCAGGCTTTGCGACCACCGGACCGGGATGTTTTTGTTAAGCATGGGTCGATCTCCAGTGTTTCTCCCAGAGGTAGGCAGGGGGATTTGCTGGAACCTACTTTTCCATGGCCAGAGCGGGGAGCGGCGGGGCCTGGCCCGGGCTGCGCTGCTGCCGGGCGGC